GCCAAAGTGTTTTGCAAAAAAACCAGCAATTGTTAATTGATCGGTTGCTTTATCATTCAAATAAGTCATCTCATGTGGTAGATCTTCACTTTTCCCTTTTTTGAAATTCACGTGCTTGAAAAATTTCTTTGGGTCATCATCTATCTGTTTCTCCATCTCTATTCTGTAATCTCTGAAAGCTGAGCGTGCACAACGTTTATATTTCCTTCTTATTTCTTTGTAATGTTCAATTGATTCAAGTGTGTTGAGCCTTTTTTTATTTTGATGTGCTTTGCTGACCTTGTTTTTCAACTCAACCAATGACTTGGTAAACCACCTCGGTTGTTTCCTGTTGATTTTTGTCTTTAACTGTACATGTGTTTCAATTGTTGACTTAATAATTGTATAAAAATTATCTAGTCTCAATTGTAATGGACTTGTATCAAAAACACTATGCCAATCTATATCAAGAAGCGACTCATTTATTCGCTTATAGTCTGCATTTATAAAGTCGCGATATGTTTGTCTTGTTTCAATGGTTTTGACGACTGGCTCATTATATTTGATTTCAATTGCATTGTGGTGCTTTTCAAAATTCAATAAATGATAGTCACTTATTGTGCATTGAACACACAATCTTGATATTGTACATAATAGTAATAGCAAGTTGCATAATATGTTGGTGAGCTTAAAAGACAAATCAGAATTTAAACAAAAATCGGGAATATATGAAATTACATGTAGTGATTGCGGAGACAAATACATTGGGCAAACGAAGAGAAATGTTGAGATAAGTTTCAAAGAACATTTGACTAGCATACACAAACACCAAGCAACAAAATCAGCTATAGCACTACACGCACTGGAGAACAATCATATGAACTGGGACATAAACAACGTCAAATTGAAAAAACAAGTAAATGATGCATACAAACTTGATGCTTACGAGATCATCTATATGTACTTGAACCGTAGCGTGTCAATGAACACGATGGACGCTCCGATCAGATCGCCGTTATTTAAATCAGTCGAACGTTTTTTCAAATAGCATTATAGTATTTGTTGTAATTTTGTCACATTTCTCATTCCACTCTCTACCTTACGACACTTTAATAAAAATGTTTTTGCTTAGTTTGAATGTACTCGCTGAGGATGACACATTGTCGATATGCATCCGAACCATTGTTTCAATTATTGTTATTTATTTGAATAGAATTCTTGAAATTAAATTGGCAAAGTCATAAAGGTGCAATATACTTAAAACAAATTGTGTTTTATTTTAAAATCTTTGATATTTGATGGACTTTGCGGATAAAGAAGTTTTGTCGTTTTTTAAAAACAAATTTAAAGCCGTCATTAGGTGTAAAAAATAGAAATGTTATCCAAAGCGAGTCACATTGTTTTTTTTTTTTTATATTTCTAAATAAATAAATCTCGTACAAAATGTAATACAATAACTGTCAAGTGTAGTTTGGTTAATAGGGATTTGCAAGTTTTCCATGCGGCCCGCCTGTCAAAGCGCTGTCGTCGACTTGTTCGACGGATTTGGTCCCCGTGTTGAGAGCATTTGGACTCATTCAATATGATGAAATGAAAAAATAGTTTACACCGGTGACGAAAAAAGTGCACGAATACATACAATGTTTGATGGAATCTCACCGTTCGACGAGAAAGAGAACAATTGATTCGCAATCACAATCAAACAAGGTTGATCAAGCCGGCTATGAATAGAATGCGACTGATGAAACCATCTGTTAAGTATTGAGAAATACGTTTGAATAGTTTGATAGTAAAAGACTGACTATTTATTATAAGACAATATATATAAAGGTTACTTGATATCTAAACTAGAAGATAGTAAATACAAAGGCTACTTGGCAAAACGAACTTGGCAGAAATTACATCGAATACGATAATTAACATGGGAAAGGGACATCAAACAGACACCATATATTTGCACATCGCAAAGGCTTTTGATTCTGTGAATATGGATCGAATCGTATTTGTCTGGATGCAGACAAATAGTCAAGATATCAGATACTAAATCAGACCCAATCGAAGTAACTTCTGGTACTGGTCAAGGTTATCCCATTGGCGCAACTTTGTTCATCATGTTTGTGATTGATCTACCTTTCGTCGTGACCAATTCTTGCATCCTTTCAATCGCTGATGATACCAAAATTTCAAAATGTATAAAATCAGAAGATGACTGCATTCATCTTCAAAGGGATTTGGATCGTGTAGCAAATTACTATGGGCGCAATTTATTAAAGTTAAACGTTAACAAAACAAAATTAATAACATATCATCGTGGATCAATGAAATATGAATATAATAGATGGCGTGCAAATTGAAAGAGTTGAAGTAATGAAGGACTTGGGAGCAGTGTGTCCATAACATATAGAAATAGCAATAAATAGTGTCGATATAGTATAATTGGTGCACTATATATGGAAGATATTTCCGCAAGACACCGTAACTCACGATCGAAGTGAGTGCGGACGGCAAACATGTTGGCGCATACACACAGTTCTTTCTACTGCCGCACGGCAACTTGTGATTTTTCCCGTCTGCACTCACTTCGATCGGGCGATACGATGCCGTGCGGCAATATCTTCCATATATAGTGGACCGATATAACTAGTGTAGATATCGACACTATTTAATGCTATTTCTATGTATTACGGACACACTGCTTGGGAGTATTGCTTGATGTGAAGATGAATTTCAAATCACACATCGAGCATGTTGTTGCTAAGGCAAAATCAAGATTTGCTTGGTTAAAATTCAACAGCAGGGATTTTGTCGACCCATGGACGTTAAAACGCCTTTACTTTACATTTATATTACCGATTATTGAGTATGGATCTGAAATATGGAATCCACACTACGACAATATGTGTAAAAGAATAGAGTCAATACAAAAGCAATTTTTATTGTATGCACTGAGGAGAATGGCCTGGAACGATTTTAGACTGCAAGATGGCGCAAGTGTCTTTTATTTTCAAAATTATTCACGGAGATTTAAAGTCAACTCATGTTTCAAACAGTATGAAATATTATAATTCAGCACATGATACCAGAGCAACACCACTATTTGATTTACCAATTAGGAGAACTGATTACACGACATATGAACCAATAAATTATATGCTGACATCATTCAACGATTTTTATACCAAAAAAATGCCAAATAGTGATACTAATTTAATTGATATAGAAGTAAATTTATCAACGATCAAACTGAAAATAGAAAATTATTTAAAGCAAAACAGATAAATACAAAATTTTTTTATGGATTATAGAAATTTTAAGCAGTTGAAAAATTATTTACAACACATTTTTGATGGATGGTAATTTTTCGGCCGATTCCAATACTTTACCTTACACACTAGATGTATGCGGAAAAGTAATTAAGCAAACTATTTATGAGAATCAAACAAAGAATCAAAAAGTATTTTTGTATCTATCTCTCTCTCTCTCTCTTCAAATTGCCAAAATTATATTTATAATTATTATATTTATTTATTTAAAAAAACCACCAAGGCGAAGGAACGCCGTTCGATGCAGTTATTATTATTATTATTTTTGCTTCATCAAATTATTTTCATACATTTTGCACTATACGTTATCTCAAGTCATACTGTACGCACCGCGTATAATTTTGAAGATGAAAGACAATTGATATTGTGATATTATTATTTTAATACGGAATCAATTATTTAATTTTATTGATAAGACTTTTTCTTCTGATAATTTTTTAATCTACCATTTGCCAATTTTTCTTTGTCGTTGCGAGATAGAATGAGCTAGTAGTAATGGCAAAATCCTGATTTATGTATCAGCCAAAATCCATCGCATGCGAACCTTAGGCCATCGAAAATGGCACCATTATTTAACGAATATGAATATGTCCGGGAGTGTGTCAAGTGAACGTGCTACGGTAACCGTAGGGAAAAAATTGAAAATGACTTTCGGAGGACGGCCACGGCAAATACACCCTCCATTCCAAAAGTTCCGGAACTTTTTAAAAATAAAAACACCCAGTGTACCCAGTGTTGGATAAAAAAAAATTATTAATCAATATACTCTCAATTCGCTTCGATACACTCATTTGCACGTTCAATCAATTTGTCAAATGATTCGGAAATGGCCTTTGTAGGAACCTTCATTAAGATGTCGGTGACAGCTGTTTGTATGCGTTCAATTGATATATTTCTCTTTCCTTTCATCTTTAAATGGAGTTTTGTCTTCACTTTTGACTTCTCAAAGCGACTTTTTGTGGGCTGACCCTCTTCTGGTCGCCTCCATTCTGCACTTTGACGCTTTGTTTCGGGCTCATATTCAAAACACCACGTCTCGTCACCAGTAACGATACTTTTCAAGAAGTTTGGGTCCATACGAGCACTTTCAATGATGTCTTTGCAATGTTCAATTCGATCCATTTTTTGATCATCGGTGAGTTTGTGTGGCACAAATCGTGAATTCACCTTACGAAGTCCCAATTCTTCGGTCGAAATGTGATATACAGTGGTTTGAGGAATCCCCAATTCCATTTCAATAAATTTCACTGAACATTTCTTATTATTCTTGATGAATTCGCGCACTTTTTTAATGTTTTTTGCGGATATTCCATTTTTTGGGCGACCTGATCTTTGGTCATCATTTAGCGATACTCTACCCGATTTAAATCGTGTGAACCACTCGTAAACTCGCGTGCGGGATAGACAATCACGACCATATGCTTATTGGAGCATTCACACATGCGCACGTTTTTTTGATCAGGGGGGTCAAATTGACTTTGGTCTCGACTCTCGAGGGGGGAGGGGGATTTATATGGAAAACTAAAATAACAATTTTGCATGAGAGAAACAAGTAAAAATGTGTGTTGACTTCAAAATCAGTGTATTTTTGCTATGATTTATACATTTATTTTGAAAAATTTGCCGCAAGTGGGGATCAAACCGGAAAACTCCCCCAGCACGCATATGTGGGAGCATTTGGTGCGTTTTGGTAAAATTTTTACCAAGTTTAACACAAAACTCAATTGCAGCTCTTTGTTTGAAATCCATTTTATCACCGCGAGCAAAAATTACTAAAAAATAAGACGCAATATCTTGACATGTTTACATCCGATCTTCGCGAAACTGTCACACAATGTAAATGAGAACTCCCTCTTTTTAACGCATATTATATCCAATAGGTGGCGCTACGGATATCTATTATTTTTAAAAAAATCCGGAACTTTTGGAATGGGGGGTGTATGTCGGCCAAATCGAAAAGTGCCGATGATATAGACAATTTAGTTGAGCATAAGAATTGCCACTATTATTCCCATCGAATCACGTAATTTATGAACAATGTTTCAGAAATTTCTATTGTAAAACTATAGCTATCTCATATGGTACGACACTGTGCCTTTCGGCAGCTATAGAGCAGATTAAAGATTATTTTAGCGAGCGAAAATTTTTCAAATTTATACTTTGAAGTCTGCGGACCACTGGTTGGAATAACTGATTTATTTGAACATTTTCGGACGACACTATATACAACCGCTGTTCTGTCTGTGAATGTTTTTATATTGATTGTGATATGATGCGGTTAACCATCTTTTTGTTTATCCATCAAGGAGTCAATCCAGTGGCCTTCCGGATAATCACTGTCCCATTATTTTAAAATTTTCAATAGAAAACATGTCTTATTTTATAAAAATGCATTTTACAACAAAATATTGTATGTTTTACAGAAAAAGATCTTAGCTTTCTTCGTATTGGCTCTTTGAATGTGCGCGTAAAAAAAACTACAGAGGCTTTCAGTAATTTTTTGGGAGTTGGTAACAATAGCAACTTACAGTACGGAAGTAATACAAATGATGTAAACCATCGTTATCTTCAAGCGAGAGACACATCGTGTTCTTCATCTTTTGATATCATCCATAAGACTTGGGGGTCCGCAGATAATATTCCACCGGTAAAATCTTTTATTGAAACATGTTTAGTAATAATGAAAGGTCTACACATTTCTGTTCTTCTATTCAGAATAAAGAAACCAAAACAATGATGCCACCAAAGTTCAATTCTGTAAAAAAGCGTCGAGCAAAACGATCAGCAGAATATTTGAATTCAACCACTCGAATCGGACATCGGAGCATGCCAACAACACCAAATCAAACTCGCTCGACAACTATTCACTCAGTTCATGAAATGACTGAGCAATCGTCTGATTCTGACACTGCTGGATTCGATTCTAATTGGAAGTAAAGATGGTCAAAAAGAAGATTTACATTTTTATTTTTTGTATGTTATTTAAGTCATTTCACCAATCAACACAGTTTTATGTCCTAAGCAGTAGCTATCATAGGTTTATCATGATTTATGTCCACTGATTACAGCAAGGATTAAAAAACCATGTTCAATTAGACTCTAGCACGTCTGAGTTTTTTTCAAAAAAGGGTGTTCACAATTTTCATTCGTTATTAATGAGATGATCCGAACTGTACTAAATTTATTCAAATTCATCGTAAAATAGTAAATGTCGTTTTCTATACAATTACTTTTACATCGCATAATCGACTAAACTCAGGTTTTTTGATTGGTGATTGAATTTTTCATATTTTTTTACCATTTCGAAATTTTTCAGTTGAAATGAAATATTATTAAATACTATATTTTACTGAAATTATCAGGCTCATAAAAATAATGTGCATCATTGAATCTTGAACAATAATTTTCATTGACCCAAAAGAATTCAAAAAAGAAAGTGAATAAATAATCATAATAAATCTATATGTCATTTAACATACCTACAGCTTGTAGGCTAAGTAATTAAATTAATATTATATTTATGCGTTTACAACAACTTTTATGTATACTGTAGCTATTTCATTTCAACGAATATTCAGACCAATAGCTTCAAATGATTTTGTATAAAATAGTCTAACACATCTATTTGATGACGATTATACAAATCATTCAAATCGAAATTCATTAAATGAATATTATTTATAAAACTCACATCCTAATTTTTTTATTTACTTATAAACGATTAATCCAATGTACTCCAATAATTTTATTTTGTGCCAAATATGCTTTGAAATAATCAATGTGATGATATTGCGAAGAAAGAAATATATTTATAAGCAGTGGTTATTGTGGAATTTTTCCAGTATATCTCAGACAGGAGATACAAATAATTTTTAACAAACCTTTCCTACAAATATCTGAAAAATTCACCAAAATGTGGATTCATAATGACGTGAAACCTTGCACTGGCTATTTTTTCCACAAAAAATATTATGAAATTTTTAAGGAATTTCAATGAAAATACCATACAACATTTTCGTTTTTGAGCTTTAGAGCCAAACAATTGTTTGGAAGGTTTGGGAAATGGTCGATCGTGGTGTACCGTGATTTGTACAAATTCGTAAACGAAAATTGCTGACGATTATTCGTGATGTGAATGCCGCCCTTGATATGACGTTGAATCGTTGAATGGTGAGTTAGGGCTAGCCCTATTTGCTCCCTTCTGAGATTTTTTTTTCATTGCCATAATTCCGAATTTTTGTATTTTCGTGAAAGTTTTCCCTCGTTTATTCAACTATAAATGTGTTATACTCTCTCTTATACATCCTTTGATACTTTTGGACGTTTGATAACTTTCCCTCTCTCTCTCTCTCTCTCTCTCTCTCTCTCTTTCTCTCTCTTTCTCTCTCTCTATTTTCAATATGTATAATGCAGTGTATAACACATGCGGTTATTTTAACCCTCCGTTGTGCAAAAGGGTCTGGCCAGACCTTTTTCGATTTTAGTTTTATTTTAAAAATATTTCCAAATTTGATATCTACTCGAAATTTCATGACTTCTCCTAGAATATTATTGATAACATTTTAGAAAAAAAAATCAGGACAAAAAAACCCATAAAAGGATTGTTACAAGGTCATCGCAATGTACATATCACATAAGTAGCGCTTGGGTCTGGCCACATACATTTTATATGTAAAGTGACGAAATTTATAATCTCTTACCAGTAAAAATCCCCAGATTTGCAAAAAAAAATTGTTCCAAGATACTTCATTTGGTAGAGGAGTCCAAGATATGACATTTGGGACAAAAAAAAAGTTCCCCAGATTGATATGGGACTAGATATGACCCTTGATAGTTCCAAGAACCCCAATATTCAGGTGAAATATGACATGAATATTTCTGAATATTAAAGCAAAAAACTATCAATCGATTTTTCTCTCTTTTCCGATGGGAAAATCGCAAAAATAACGAAATTGCACATCCCCGTAAAGGATGTAATCCCTCGAGTGCTCAACTTCCAGAATACTTTGGACCAGGTCGGAACCACCTACTCCACAAGATTCACTTCCAGCTCATTTTATCTCACTCTCGCGTATAAATCCAGTTTACTCTAATATTCTATGAGATGAAGCAAATGATTCAATACCATTTGATTTCCCAACTTCTAGAACACTTTGGACCAGGTCGGATCCATCTGCTCCACATGATTCACCTCCAGCTCATGTCCTCTCACTTCATCTAATATTATATTATAGGTATGGTATTGTTGTATCTAGGTAAACTGCATTTTTATATATGGACTGGAAGTGAATCATGTGGAGCAGATGGATCCGACCTGGTCCAAAATGTTCTAGAAGTTGGGAAATCATATGGTATTGAATCATTTGCTTCATCTCATACAATAATATACATAGAGTAAACTGGATTTATACGCGAGAGTGAGATGACAAGAGCTGGAAGTGAATCTTGTGGAGTAGGTGGTTCCGACCTGGTCCAAAGTATTCTGGAAGTTGAGCACTCGAGGGATTACATCCCCTACGGATATGTGCAATTTCGTTATTTTTGCGATTTTCCCATGAGGTCAATCACGAAATTCTAGTGCATCTAGTTTTTGATAAGATTTCACTAGAAAACTAGAAAATTCTAGTGCGTGAAGTTGGCTCTCAGTAGTTTTTCATATAAATTATATGGCCTTTGGTGTGAAGTTGGCTTCGTTTGTGACATCATTCTTCGCACTAGATTTACTAGTTTTTCTAGTATTCACTAGCGTGATTCGCCCTATGGATTTTCCCATCGGAAAAGAGAGAAAAATCGATTGATAGTTTTTTGCTTTAATATTCAGAAATATTCATGTCATATTTCACCTGAATATTGGGGTTCTTGGAACTACCAAGGGTCATATCTAGTCCCATATCAATCTGGGAAACTTTTTTTTTGTCCCAAATGTCATATCATTGACCCATCTACCACATACAGTATCTTGAAACAAAGATTTTTCCAAATCCGGGGATTTTTACTGGTAAGAGATTATAAATTGCGTCAATTTTCATTTAAAATATATGGGGGTCTGGCCAGAACCATACGCACAACGAAGGTATACGGAATGTGTCGCACAACGGAGGGTTAATTTATAGCTAAATACACGAAGCAACAGTCAACACTTTTACGAAAAAACAAAAATTTGAAACTGTGGCAACGCAAAAAAAATCTCAGAAGGGAGCAACAATGGCCAGCCCCAGTGAGTTAATCGTGCGTGCGCGTTTTTTTTTTGTTTTTTTCGTTAATGTTATAACAGTTGATAATTATCAATAATGCATTATTTATTTATTCAATTCTTTTTTTTTTCGTATGTTTAACACACAATAGGCTATCACCAATTCATGGATCGTGAACTTTCAGCTGCATTTGATGAAGCAAATTGTGGTCGGCGAGAATCCTTTTAAAAAGAGGAAACAGCAAAAGGTGAGAAAAAAAACATTCCTCTGGCATAGATGATGACGGAAAATTTTTTAGAGGGCGGTGATGGCAAAATTCCGTAGGGGGTACCTGACGATGTCTACAATTTGTAGGAAATGAGGATAAAATCGTTTTTTTTCTCTTCACTTTTTTGACGAAAATCCCTAGCAAATCGGAAAAATTTTCCAACTTCAAATTGCCTTCCAAATCCGAAAAATGCGAAAAACCCTAGCAACCCTTCTCGGTCAAGAAAAGTGAAAAGCAAAAAAAAGGTCATAATTTCCAAAATTGTTGATGGTTCCTAAAAATATTTTAGAGGGGGGTAATCCGAACCCTAGGAACCCTCGTCATTACCTATGTTCCTCTGGTGAAAGGTGTGTAAAACGCTGTTGAAATATTAAAACTTGATGCGTTTTTGATCTTTGGTCATTTTCAAAGACTTTTCGAAAGGCCATATATGTCTGTATATGTATGTATGTAGTAAATGTTCCTTTTTTGTCATTCGATAACTTACCGCTCATCATCATCTTATCATTTGGACGTGCCAAGAAGAAAAAGATGATTCGAATTAAATCATCATAAATACGAATATAACAACTAAAAAATAATTAATATAATAATTATTACAAACTACTAGCCCGTCTAACTAGCACGATTGAAAATGTTTATTCATCTAATAGACATCTATTCATATACATTAGGGTATACCCATGACATCTCAGTTTATATTTTTTTCGCAAAATAAACGCTTGATACGTGATCAAGGGATCCCATTGCCAAGGTAATTACCCTCGCCGTATTTGTTTTACAATTTTGTCATAACATATGTTAAGAAAATATTGAGACTAAATTCAGGCGTTTATTGCGCTACATAAACAAAAATAAAAATGTCAACCAATGCACATAGGATACTTAACGGGACTCCTACTCTATTGTCAAACTCAAACCATTCAGTTATATTCATTCGCAATGACGTACAAATTGGATTTACGAAAAAGTGTCTCAAATGGTTTTGGACAGCTAAGTTCAAAACAAATTCTGCATGTGTCTAAAGATGAACCAATCTGTCTTCGAACCATGTATCGTGTTTCATGGACTTAATATGAATATAAAGATTCTTGAGAATGCAAAAAGTACGGTCGTATTCCCAATTTAAATGCTCAAACCCTTCAAAATTGTCATTAAGTACCGAAAACCGGGTTGGTCAAGCAAAAATTCATTTTTGGTGATTTTTATGGTTACAGCACATCCAAATTTGTACCAAAACAATAGATTTAGACACGATCATTAGTAATCAGCAAAATAAGTTACGAGAAAATTGCAAAGGGTGTCAAAAATTGGATGTTTACTTAATCTCATAGCATGTTGCGCTGAAAAATTCATCATTTTGGATAGAGAGACATTCATCGCCAAATCGAACCACGAATCAAGTGCAAGTGGTTTCTTTTGCATTGATTATGTTAGGGCACTACTATATAAGGCTAGAGACGTCGACAACCCGAACTTTAATAAAGGGGTGTTTGTATGGTGGGATCTTCTTTGGAAGGTGTTTTAGAGCCAATATTCGAAAATTTAGTGCTGAAATATAATATTGTTGAAATCGATAGAGTTTGTTGAGAACTATCTGATTAAAGACTAAATTATGCTTTGCAAGCAGAAAAAACCACAATAATGTCTCACTTCTTAAAAAATAGCATTTTCATGAAAAAAGGACCATCTTTTTAACTTCATAAAAAGACACCAAATTAATTATTTCTAGTCTGTTTTTTGATGTATGTTATAGACGAAGGTCCAAAATACTTGAAACGAGTAACAATTGGTTGGATGGATTGAGAGAAAATTGAAAGAAATCGACAAATCGGTTGTCCAGAGCATGATTTTGAAGGTTAGATACAAACTTCTAAAATCGAAGACAATGGTCCATTCAGTGTAATGCAAATGTACTATTCGATAGCCCATGAATAAAGGTTTATACCAATAAAAAAGAATTTTATATTGTTTGTTTTTTGTTCAAACGGCGGACGTCTGAATTTAGTCTCAATATTTTCTTAACATATGTTAGTTTGAGGTATTTAGTCTTTAAAGGTCCATTTTTCAAGGCGGCGATTACAATCGTGTACGATTTCAAATCGTTGGCCAAAATCGTACCAATGTGAGCAAACAATTGTACGAATGTGGCGCGAGATGCGAGATATGGGCGATGTCATTGCTGCAACTCTTCGAGATGGACCGAATGCAGGTCGTTTGGTGTCAAAGAAGCAACGCTTCTTCAAAACATGGCTACCAAATGTGGCAAACTTTGAAATCGAAGGAGCTGCCGGAGCACGACCAACGCTCACAACTGTATGGCATCGTGATATCACAGCAGCGGAGCTGATCCTCTACAAAGGTATGCAATCAATTGAAATTGATACAAATTGTAAAGTAATTGTTATACATGTAATGTGTTTTTGTTATATCATTATGCAGGTGAATGCGTTGTGTTCAAGCGGACAATTCATCCAAATGTGCGGAGACCACGCCGGAATGACAACAATCAGCCATTGCCGTTGTATCGAGGTCAGAATCAGAATGTCAATAATGAAAATCTGCAGCCGTAGCAGTAGCAGCCCTCATTCAACAACAACAACATCATTCAATCAAATTATAATTTAGAAATTAGTTTATAACAATTATTTGTTAGTCCGCTATGCTTGATTAAATTGTGGCCTTGCCGAAGTACGAGTTACCTCTTGGTATAAATTGTACTTGGTAAGTAGAGTTTATTGCATATTGATAATAATGAATGATCTCAATTTTTTTCATATTAATCTAATTTTATTATTTTTTCTCTTTTTTTAATTCCATTGTGACGTTGAAAATTACTGAAACTACACACAAATCCGACCCCAATTTTGACCGTGAACTAATGCCTGGAATGGATGATTTTGCGCCAACAATTGTTCCTTGGGAAGTATAAAGAAATAAAAATAATTATTTTCAATTATCTGAACAGTTGGAAAGTTTTGTATCAATCATATTGACTTTTTGTCTGTGACCAGACAAATACGATTCGATACATGCTTTTGCCAAAACACTTTTCTAGGATGTACAAAAAATGTACTTAATTGTACCGCAATTTATTTTTATTTGTACCTTACTCGTTTGGCTAATATTTGAGGTTCAAATTTCGGGGCACTTCAATTTGCCGGTCATCTAGCCAAAATAAAACTCAAAGATATTTTTTAAATTTTTATGGCTGATAATAATTGTACCTAAAATGTACCTTCAAAATAACATCATCATAAAGTCATAACTTCGATGGTGTTCTTCTGCAGAGCATGTCCTTCGAAATTCACGGGGGATTTCCCGAAAAAATGGCAAAAATGAAAATCAACGATATTTTTTAAAATTTTATTGCTGATAATACAATTATTTTCAGTGAGGTACAATTAGATTCAGTGAGGTATTCTATCACAATATTGAGTTGGCCCGTAATGTGAGCTCCAAATATTATCGAAACAAGTAAGGTTCAATTAAAAATAAATTGCGGTACTATTAAGTACATTTTTGGTACAATTATTATCAGCCATAAAATTTGAAAAAATATCGTTGATTTTCATTTTTGCCATTTTTTAGGGAAATCCCCCGTGAATTTTGAAGGACATGTTCTGCAGAAGAACACCATCGAAGTAATGACTTTATGATGATGATATTTTGAAGGTACATTTTAGGTACAATTATTGTCAGCTATAAAACTTTAAAAAATATCTTTGAGTTTTGTTTTCGTCATTCTATCACAATATTGAGTTAGCCCGAAATGTGGGCTCCAAATATTATCCAAACGAGTAAGGTACAATTAAAAATAAATCGAAGTACAGTTAAGTACATTTTTGGTACAATTATTATCAGCAATAAAATTTTAAAAAATATCGTTGATTTTCATTTTTGCCATTTTTTCGGGAAATCCCCCGTGAATTTTGAAGGACATGCTCTGCAGAAGAACTCCATCGAAGTAATGACTTTATGATGATGTTATTTTGAAGGTACATTTTAGGTACAATTATTATCAGCCATAAAAATTTAAAAAATATCTTTGAGTTTTATTTTGGCTAGTTGACCGGCAAATTGAAGTGCCCCGAAATTTGAACCTCAAATATTAGCCAAACGAGTAAGGTACAAATAAAAATAAATTGCGGTACAATTAAGTACAGTTTTGGTACAATTATTTAAACCTAGTCCCAAGTTTCGACTTTCACATGCGCGGACATTCGAATATACATCCCTTTTTTAATTAGTAATTTTATACTCACTGAGTCAAAAGCCTCCGCGATGTCTAAATAAATGGAAATGGTGTCAGTTTGATGTATTTTCACCAATAATCACATTTTATATAAATTCTTTTAAATTTGTTTTTCGTTGATATTTTGGTAATCAACAAAATGGCCGAAGTTCTTAAAATAGTATTGTATTAACTCATTTGAAATATAGGCAGGGTAATAATTTTGGTGAAATGTGATTTATTCATGTGTGCATTTTATAATACTTGTTTTTGCTAAATGAATTTTCCCTTTTATACAGGTTATGTTTTCTTATGAATTAAATATAATCAATAATGCATTTATTGCATTTTTTTACATTACAGCTGCAATGAATATATATATTTTTCAAAACATATTTAACAATATTTGAATGGGCTGGAATAAAAGCTCTACATGTATTTTGAGTCTACTAGCGGAAAATATAAATGTTTTCCATACAAATTTAATACAAGTAGATTTCTTATTCTAGTCTATTCATTTTTCATTTTAAATTAAGTCAGAAGCGAGCATATCGCCGCATAATAACATCCACTTGAGAAAATATTATGCGATTGAGTTATTAAATTATTGGAATGCGTTTGTGATGACAGTGACAAGTATTACATTTACTAAGGTTCGCAATGTACTGAGTCTTCTATATTTTTTACAAGCAAATGATATGCGGCGGGGTTCTCTGCTTAGAAAATATTGTGCTAAATTGTGGCTATAACATATTATTTTTAATGGAAATTACGAACAAATCAATAAATAAAATTCAGGAATAAATTTGAGAATCTACACAGAATCTACTTTCATATGTATATAAAAGCTTCTATGCCTATTACCAAGTTTATTTTGAGATAATGATTTTCCAATTGATCCAACAATTAATATTTACAGATTTTTTTTTTATTTTGATCTATGTTAATTTTCGGGCAAGTACTTTATTACTGGTAAGCTGTACTGAAATTACAGTTTTGGTTAATGTCATTAAGATAATTATCTCATTTTTTATATTATTAATCCAAGAATCAAGTATTATAGGTCTTATATGTCCTGCGAATCAGTTTATGGAACAGTCAATATAATTTACAAATGGCTAAGTTCAACAATTTTCACTACACTTTGATTTGTTTACGAATTTGTTCATCATCCAGTTTTTTTGTAGTTTTTCGATAAAATATGAAAATATTTCATATATATAGAGAACTAATTCCAAAAACCTTGAGTAATACCTAATGAATATGTTAAGTAGATATCTGTGGAGTTTTGTCTTCAAAATGTCAATCAAAATAATTTCCTACTCCATTAAATTAAGTTTAATCACTAGGTTATAGATATAATTTCGAAATTATAATTCTCTAGCAAATTATTTAATATCAATATTTATTGTGTTAATTCCAAAATTATTCAAATTGATATTTTCTGTTTTCTGAATAAATATTTATCCTATAATAGGCAGATGATTAAGCGTCTTTTCTATATCGATATTGTGCGATTTTGTGTTTTTTCAGTTATCATTGAACTATTTATTTTACTATAAAAAATTAAAGTGAGACACAGTAAGAAAATATCAGCCGACGCTATACGCAAAACCGACTGGTACGTGCGCTCATACGTTTTTACATCTAGTGACCATACGATTTTTTGACTGATTCGTTACTCTTTGTGCGTATCTTCGCACAGTCAAAAAATCGTATGGTAATAGATGTAAAAGAAGTAAAAACGTATGAGCGCACGTACCAGTCGGTTTTGCGTATAGCGTCGGCTGATATTTTCTGTCTGTGGAGAGTGTGAATTTTCAAATCTTCGGTTGCAAGTTTTAATTGTTCAGTTAAGTGGTCCAAGTTGCATGAACAAATAATATATATAGCTGTATATGTCTAAAACATGTATGCAGAATAGGAAGTTTCTAGCATTTGTAAATAAAAAATAGGTATCGCCAATTAGAAGTTCAAAAAATTCTGTGTGATTTAATTGTATTCATATTGCATAGCAATTCAGACTTCCCAAAGAGAAATAAACTCGATTGCACACAATATGTTTGTGTATTGTTGTGATATTATCAATATCGTTATTTTCATGTGCTCTGAACTTTATATTGTTTATATCTATAACTGTTTATATCCCATTTTTGTACGTTTATATTATTGGACTAATGTCTACAATATCCGTATGATGTTTTTAATGGAAAGAATATAAATAAATTTTTCGTTGTTGATTAGTATGAAGAAATGAAACACATTCCTGAACGTATCAATTTCAAAAACAAGCATCTGTGCTCGGTTTTGATCAGTGGCAACAGTGTGATGATGATAGTTCACAGTTTAGTTGTGTGACATATTCAATCGAATCAAAATTATACACTCCGCGAAAAAAGGATAGACGCAATTACATTTTTCCAAAAATCTTATTTAAAAAGTATTGATTTCTTTGTTATTTATTTAGCAACTATTTATGTACACATCACAAAAAGATTTATCAAAAATAATTTTATAATTTTCGAGTTTTTCGAAATTGAACTCAAAAAGTGCGAAATAAAGATAGACGCAGTCACTGTTTTGAAATAAATAGAAGTGAAAAAGTTGTGCGAAGTTTCCTTCGAAATCGTGAAAATAAAACTGGTCGGCCTACAGTGGTTTCTGCCGCCGAAAAACGGCTATTAATTCGAAGTGCAACCAATAATTTCAATTCTGCCCGGCAATTGAAAAATGAAAACAATGTATCAGTTGGTGTTCGACGTGTTCAGCAGATTTTAAGGTCTTGTAAACACATAAAGTACACAAAAATGAAGCGCAAACCAATGTTGTCGCCGGCCAATATTGACGATCGTTTGAAGTTCGCTAATGATCACATTCGATGATATTTCGTAATAATGGCGTAAAAATTTTTTTTCGGATGAAAAAAAGTTCAATGTGGATGGACCAGATGGTTTTGCCTATTATTGGCACGATTTACGTACTGAACCATGGACTTTCAGTAAACGTCAATCTGGTGGTGGTTCGGTAATGGTGTGGGGAGCCATTGGTTACCTAAAAAAGGTGCCGTTAATATTCACTCAGAACAGTATCAGCAGATAATTGGTCCTCTTTTCCCTGCATATGGTTACGAATGTGCTGGATTGAATTGGAAATTTCAACAAGACAACGCGCCGATCCATGTGGCTCGATCAATTTTGGCCCACTCTGAGGAACATGGAATCCACCTTTTCAACAATTGGCCGGAAAAATCGCCAGATATGAACATAATTGAAAACGTTTGGAGCATTTTGGCTCGAGAAGTTTATAAAGAATGTCGTCAATACAACAACCAAACCGAGTTGAAGGAAGTGATAGAGACGGCCTAGCGAAATCTTTCCCAGAGTAGAATTCAATCACTGTATGACAGTCTCCCGGATCGGATGCTTGCATGATGCCCGAGGCAAACACACCAATTACTGATCAAGAATTTCACGAAAAATGTGATTTTTAAATCAAAAACAGTGACTGCGTCTATTGAGTACAAAATTTCGAAAAACTTGAAAAAAATAAAATTCTTAAAATTTTATTCATAAATAGTTCCAAAACAAATTGACTAAAAAATGACAAAGAATCTATGCTTTTTAAATAAGATTTTTGGAAAAATGTTATTGCGTCTATCCTTTTTTCGCGGACTGTACTTTTTTATCAAACATGGAATATTTACTGCCGGTTGTTTTAGCTGATTCAAATCAAGACAATTTTGCACATTTTATGTATTTACATTGTTCGAAATATGCTGAGAATTTAATGCCCAACAACTTTGAAGACGATTTACCATATGTAGCAATACTTAAAACTATTTGGCACCGAGACATTTCGGTTACAAAGTTAATCATGTAGTTAGTAGTTTATTGATTTGAATTTGAATTTCAAGTTTAGAAAGTGATTAGAAAGATTATGAATGTAATACTACATTGTACTCTGAGAAAATAAAGATGTTAAATGGTAATGAAGTCAGAGCCGGTATTCTAGCACATAATTCCTATCGGAATTATTATTTATCGGATTTATTGTGGCACAATGTATTCGATTGTTCGAGACTACAGCAAACAATTGAATCCATTGTTTCATATACAAAACCATGGCCTGGAAATGCCTATGTAATTTACATATAAACGAGTGAGACTCAAACATGTGCTTCTTCTTCAGAACAATACATACACACTAACTCACAAACATCAAAAGTATACGCCATAACAGCAGTGCAAACACAAATACATGCGCACGCTACTCAGCTTTGATTCTGTGATGAAAACTTATTGACTTCTGCTGTACATGTGATACTTGCGTATGTATTGTTCTGAAGAAGAAGCACATGTTTGAGTCTCACTCATCTCCATCCCTTGTACAAAACAATAATTGCGATAAACAATAATATTTGTATAGAATACCGCCACAGATAAAAATGGCATTTTAACATCTATACAAAATCACAGATGTTAAAATGAATCATGCTATCAAGTGGCATATTTTGTAGAAACATAAAATAAATTTGTATCTGAAGCGATATAAGTGTTTTGCAGCAATGTCTTTTCAAAATATTCTGTTAAAAACATACTTATATCGCTGCAGACTAAAAAGTCTTTGGAATAAATTCCGACGTTCGCCATTTGAACAACAAACACACAATTCATTTTTATTGGTATAAACCTTTATTCATAGGCTATCGAATGGCATTTTTCTCAGTATGCGTCGAAGTATTTTGGACCTTCAATTCATCCGATTTGCTAGGGATTTTCGTCCGAAACGAAATTTTTATCGATTTCCAAAGGTTTTTTGAAGAAATTTTTTTTAACATGACAAAAGTGACAAATGTTACACTAAAGTGACAAATGTTACACACACGTGTGACAAATGTTACACAATATTTGACCAAAGTTACACAAATTAGCAAAATAAATGAAATGGTTGGATTCATAAGCTGTATAAAATGCAAATAACGATTTTTTCAAAAAAAAAATATTTTTACATTTTTGAGTTTGGATTCCAATTTTTATTTTAATTTCAATTTGAAACAACGAAATGAAGGAGAGAAATAAATATATAAATAAATGTTTCGATAATTTTTCAAGTTTGGATTGAATTTCATTGATAGCCCTGGCGGGGGAACAATTTGAAATAACGAAATGAAGAAAAGAAATAAAATATTTTCGGGATTTGTCGCACTGCATACGAATCAATCGAACTAAACCAATAAAAAATTAAAATGGCGAATGGTGTTT